AGTTGACGAACTCAACCAATAAGTGTGACAGGGGATAAATCATGGGAAACAGATGGATTCCAGGGAAGAATAAGTCAGGAACATGAACTTTGAATGGAGGCAGTACATGCCACATAACACCATAAGAAGCAAACCATACAAATAAGCCAATCTGGATCCACTGGGAGATCTGGAAGCAAGTGGAAGAAAGGAGGAGGAACAGTAAAAAGAAACAGGTTAAAGACAACTAGCAAAATTACACTCATCTCAAACATACAGAGAAAACTGTACATGCATCAATCACTGATCTGAATAGGTAGCTGAAAAAAGGTGTGGAAAGTGAAATCTCCTGAATAGATGTAAAGTGTGACAGACCAAAATAAGAAGGAACCATAAAAAAAAAAGTCCAAATTGTCTTCTCCTTGATTATATTCTTCCTCAGCTACATTGAAAAGAAGAAGAAATCACCAGCCGAACATATGAATCTAGCTAACTGCGGATTAAGGACTATACCTCCTTTGCAGATAAAGTCAAACCTGATTCCTGGGATATCATACCAATAGCGCTGTAGACTGTATGATGAACTACCATAGCCAATACATTGAATCACGAATTCATACAAAGTTCTTGTATACTTCAGTAATAAGAAACAAATGCAAAATACATAAATATACAGTACTATGCAAAAGTATTAGGACAAGAGAATATTTTGTCATGCTTTTCATTTTATGGGACTAATTCATCCATGTAATTACAGAATGTAAATTTCAACACTGTAGTAATGCTTCACTGATCCCTGTTTACAATTGAATGAGCCAGGGTGAGAATACTCATCATTCTTTAGAATTCCCATATACTTCTACCAAGGGCATGTCATAAGGGTTCTGTTTAATGAACATACTGATCAAATTTAGGGTATGAAATAACAGTCATGGTACCCCATGCAGTGTCTTAACTATATAGAAAGAAGCTAGCATATGGTACAGGTATTTGCTACAAGAAATCACTTTAATAGCACTCCACAAATAAACCTTGGTAAAAACAGTGTTTAACACTATGCATTAAATTTTGTTGTCATGCTACACACCAAAAAGCACAGAAAATTGTCAGTGGATCAGAGAGTTCATATAAAAGCTTTATGTGATGCTGGTTGGACTCTTCGACAAATTGCTGCAGACTTGAAATGCTCCTCAAACACTGTCAAGTACACACAAGGCAGGTAAATTTGAAAATCGGAAAGGAACAGGCAGAACACCTAAACTCAATGATACTGATGTTAAGTATCTTCGTTTATGCAGCCTTTGGGACAGAAGAAAGACTGCCACTGACCTAAAGCATGAGATAAATGACCATGTACCAAGTGACAGAAAAGTTTCCAGATCTACAGTAAGACTCAATAAGAATGGAATATTTGGTCATGTAGCAGTTAAAAAACTTTTACTTTGATCTCTATATATTTACAAGAGAGTAAAATTTGCTAAAAAGTACAAAAACTGGACTGTTGATGATTGGAAAAAGGTGTTAGGGACGGATGAGTCCAAGATTGAAATATCTGGTTCAAAACATAGATTGTATGTCCGGCGGAATAAAAGTGAAAAATACTTACCTCAATGCATAGCACATACCATGAAGCATGGGGGAGTCAGTGTGATGGTTTTGGGGTGTTTTTCTGCTGGGGCAACAGTAAATATTTGCAAAATAGATGGAATAATGGACCAGTGCAAGTACCATCAGATACTGATCCATTGTGGTATACCCAGTGGTTTGTGTATTATTGGTAAAGGATTCTATTGCCAAGAAGATAATGACCCCAAACACTCATCCAACCTATGCAGAAATTACTTAGCTAAGAAAAAAGCTGCTGGAGTCATTCAAATGATGCAATGGCTCCCACAGAGCCCTGATCTTAACCCAATTGAACAGATCTGGGATTTGATAGATCAAAAACTTGACATGTCAAAAGTTACTTCAAAGAAATTTTATGGGAGTGTATTAGAGACATTTGGAATAAAATTCCAAAGAACACTTTGATTAAATATGTTGCAACAATGCCTGAAAGACTGTCTGTTTATAAAAGCAAAAGGGAGACACACAAAATACAAACTGTTTGTTGAACTCACTTCCACTGAGGTTCTTTTGTAATAAATATGAAAAGATTAA